CTGCACAGTGATGGCTCCTGGAGACCTTGGGCTGGATCCAAACCTTACCAAATCAATAACTGTCCTCTGACTGACTGACTGCAGCAGGCTTTCAGCAGGCTCCTAATGAGAACAGGAGTTTTCATTTAAGCTTATAAATATATATATACCTACAGACACTTTTTCTATTATATTTTCTGATGTAGACCAGCCCGCCTGGCTGAGACAGAACTATGCAAATTGAAATTTGATTTGCTTTCCAGGCCGGTATTTGAGAGATAAAATAGCAAAATCTTTCTTAGGTAATTGGACAACAGCAGAAACTGTGGACACAAAGGGAATTTCCCTGGAGAGTGTATTTCTCTCCAGAAATGTCAGATTTGGTGGGCCAGGCAAAGCTGTGGAGCTAAAACTGAGCAGAACCTGACACAGACCCAAAGGCACTGAGATGTGATTTCTCAGTCAATAAAATGGAACTGCTGAGTTTAAGGATGAACTCTGTGAACAGAGCATGCCAGAACATTAATTAATGAAGTGTGGGTAAACTCCTGATGAGCCTGCCCACAACCAGCCCGGGATCCGGGGCACAGATGCCACGGGAGGTGCGGGGTCAGGGCTGGCAGAGGAGCCCAGCCCTGCTGCAGCAGGAGAGCCACCCCAGTGCCCTGCCCTTCCCTGTGCCCACAGCCCAGCTCTCCTCCTTCCTGGCAGACCCTGCTCCTCTCCCTGCTTCCCCAGCCTGGGGAAAACCCAAAGAAAGGTGCCAGAGGGAGGCAGAAGCAGGGCTGTGAGATGCCCACAGTTGGAGCTCTCCCTGGGTCCCAGGCAGCGAGTCCAACGCCTGCCAGGAGCAGGGAGCAGCAGCAGGGCTGTGCCCCCAGCTCCCTCCCTTCTCTCAGGATCATTCAGCCTGGAAAAGCCCTCTGAGACCTCAGTCCATGGCTGAGGGGATCTCTGGAGCCCCCTGAGCTCTGGCCCTGATTGCCAGGACTGGCAGAGCAAATTCAGCCTGGAAAAGCCCTCTGAGACCTCAGTTCATGGCTGAGGGGATCTCTGGAGCCCCCGAGCTCTGGCCCTGATTGCCAGACTGGCAGGGCAGCAGGCCCTGCAGGAATGGCCGTGGGTCAGCAGAGGGGTCACAGCCGGACCCTTCCCCTTGGCAGGGACCCTGATTCACCCCAACGGCTGCCGGAGCCTCTGGGGAGCACTGAGAGCGATTTACACCGAGCTCATTTACATCTGGGGGGGAACGCTGATGTTATTTACGTCTTCAGCACGCAGGCTCTGGGAACATTAATACACGAGTTTAATTAGGGATCTCCGTGTAGGAACCAGCACGCAAGGCAATCAACATGTGCAAATTGAGGGCACGGTCTGGTGCCTCCGCAGTGCTGGAGACACCATTCCAAATGGGTGCCATTAACCAGGAGTGCACAGTCAGATGCTGGCTCAGTGAAGTCCTTGTGAGATGAAATCAGCACAGAAAATACCACCACATCCCTCTCACAAGGCTCCTTCTCCTTCCAAATGTCACTCCTGACCTCTTGGGCAGCTTTTCACAATTATTTTCATTTTTTCATGGTTACTGGCAGTATATCCAAGGATTCTGTGTGAACCTGGACATCAGCAACACCTCTGGATCACAGAACCAGCTTGTAAGAAGCAATTTCTCTGGCACTGTTAGGAAAGGACAAGGATGCTTCCTGTGGATTGCCAGGTTTTCTAAAGAAAGGTGTCCCTTATCAGGGATCCCACATTTCAAACGCTTCGTTACAAGAACCAACACAACTGGAGGATCCCGAGGCCCCAGCCATGAATAATTAGCAAATTGCCATTGATTATCCATTTTTTGGAACCACTGCTTCTCTGCATGTTCCCCACCAGGCTCAGACTTCCTCTTTTCCAGCTGCTGGATTTTTATTAACGGCTGGACCTTGGGCAGGGTCTCCAGGCAGGGACAGGACAAACTCCGTGTGCTCAGGGGTCTGGGATGCTCACAGCCCCAGGCAGCCACCTGCCAGCCTGTCCCCAGGGCAGAAGGGGTCTGGCTGCCCTCGGGGGTGTCCCCAGCTCACAGTGGGACTGTCCCCTGTCCTGGTGAGCAGCCACAGCCCACAGGGTTCTCCTCAGCCAGGGGCACTGCCTGTCCAGCTCCACGGAGAGTGTCCTTGGCTCCAGCCACTCTCCCAGGGCCAGCCTGGACCTTGTGCTGACACTCCCTGCCCCTCCTCGTGGCTCTCTGTCAGCTCGGGGCTCCCTGATGGATCACAGAGAGCCAGAGCCCTCTCCGTGGTAAAGGGAACAGCCCTTCTCCTTCTGTCCTGCATCTGTGTGGATGCAGATCCCAGCAATGGAGACTGGGCTCAGTCCTGTGCCCGAGCAAGGTCCCCAGCTGTGCACAGCTGCTGTGCCACGTGGGTACAGCATGCACAGGATGGGCATTTGTACATTAGGTACATTATGTACATTAGCTACATTAGGTGCATTATGTTTGTAATATGGGGACGTGCTAAGAAAAACCCACAGGTTTTCCAACTCTGCTGCGAGGTTTTTGTTAAAAAGCCTGCCCTGAAAGCAGAGAGCAGCCAGTGGGCACCAAGTCCCCAGGGCTGCTGGCCAGGAGCCCACAGTGGCCATGCAGGGGGCCCTGTGCTCAGGGGCCACAGCACGGGGTCACACTGGGGGATTTGGGATCCCATTGCTGTGGTGTGTGTCTCTGCACACCCCAGGGGTTCCCATGGGATGAGGGATCCCAAGCTCCCCAAGGTCATGGGACAGGGGGATTTGGGATCCCCCTCCTGTGTCTCTGCACACCCCAGGGGCTTCCCATGGGATGGAGGATCCCAAGCTCCCCCAGGTCATGGGACAAGGGGATTTGGGATCCCCCTCCTGCACACCCCAGGGGTTCCCATGGGATGAGGGATCCCAAGCTCCCCCAGGTCACAGCACAGGTCACACTGAGGGATTTGGGATCTCTCTCCTGTACACCCCTGGGATTTCCCATGGGATGAGGGATCCCAAGCTCCCCCAGGTCATGGGACAAGGGGATTTGGGATCCCCCTCCTGCACACCCCAGGGGTTCCCATGGGACGGGGCTCCCGGGTCGCCGCCGTTGCGGGGTCACCGCACCCCCAGCCTGTGTGACCCCAGTGCAGCCCAGGCTGCAGCACGCCCTGAGGTGAGGCAGCAGTGCCATTTCAGCACTCCTCAGTACCAAGCGGAACTCCTCTGAAGCCCACACTTGGTTCCTGAGCGCTGCAGGCGGGCACGGCTCCAGCTCCCTCGCACATACCTGAACCAGCACATATGGCCCGCTCTCACTGCCAACAAAACGAAATGCAAGAGTTTCACAGGAGAGAATTCTCGCTCAAGGATTAAGGAGTCCACACTTAACGAGTTGCTACCCTGAGAATTATTGTTATATTTTTTTTTTTTCATTTTTTTAAAGGGCTAATGCTTCTACGCCAACAAAATGAAATGCAAGAGTTTCACAGGAGAGAATTCTCACTCAAGGATTAAGGAGTCCACACTTAACGAGTTGCTACCCTGAGAATTATTGTTACATATTTTTTGTTGTTTTTTTAAAGGGCTAATGCTCCTAGATAATATTAATGTAAATTATACGCAAAGGAAAAACTTCACCAAACGATCCTCATTCCCACCCAAAATCCAGATCACCACCTTGAGGACAGCTCTCCTTGGTTGGAGAGCTGGATTAAAACAATCACAGTATAAAATAAGACATTTCATCTTGCTCTTTGAGTCAAACCCCTGAGCCAACATCCCCCCCATTTCCCTCCCAAGGCCAGCAGCAGACCCAGATTTCCAGAATTTTCTCTCAGACCATTCTGCTTCCCACCTCCCCTTTCTTTCATGATGGAGAACACCTATTTTTATGATTTGTACCAATGCACTTGGTACTTCTATGACATTTTCAACCTCTGCCTCTCAAAGTTCTTTTCAAGGGTGGCTACAAGGCACCTCACAATTTAAGATGGAAAAAATCCTGGCAGCAGCTCAGAGACAGATTCAGCTCTGCTCTGTTCAGATGAAGCCAGACCTTCCTTCTACCTGCTCTGAATTGCAAATACACCAAATTCCAGCTCCTTCTGGCTTAATAGTCCTTTGTTTTCACTTGCATTTCCTGTTTAAAATAAGTGTAACATCGTTCCCACTTTGGTAATGATCCCTCAAATATTAAATAAATGGCAGCAAAGGCTCCCTGTTATTTTCTGCCTGTTACATCTCTCCTGCAGGAATTTAGAACCTCCTGACAACACTCGTCATATGGGGAGTACGTTCAGGAGGAAATTTCATGGAAGGCAGGCAATAATTGTGGGATTTAAGCAACTGAACTCTGCATTTCCACGCAGTGAGGAATATCATTACGTGCAGGATACCCCCGGAGTTTTGTCTCTCTTTTATCACCATCAGAAGAGAGCAGCACCAGAACTGCACCAGGAACACCTTTGGATCCAGCAGCAGATGGCTGAACATCCAGCAGCAGTGAAATGCCACCGAGCCACGGCTAAAAATTCCTCCCCAGCAGCACCTTGGGGCCCCTTTTGGGCACCTCCCCGCTGAGCACCCAGCATCTCACACTGCTCACTGCCTTCTGCAAGAGACTGCCCTGCTCTGCACCAGCCCCTGCCAGCCCTGGCGGGACAGAGCTCTGGCACATCCCAGGCTGCTCCTGGGAACGTGCTGGATGGCAGTGGCCCCGCAGGGAGCAGGAGCTGTGCACATTGTGCCTCTGCACCACCACAAAGGGGGGTTAGCTGGGATTTCTGGCAGAGGCACAGCCCCTGATCCCCAGAGCACGCCGCAGAACCCAGAGTCAGAACCCAAACCCTTCCCCAGCACGGAACAGGCACCGCCAGGCGCAGAGCGCCGACCCTGATGGGCACAGGGGCATTTCCAGGCGTCCAGGGGAACGAGCACGCTGCTCCTCTGGGGCTGTGGGACCCACGGGGCTGGGAGGAACCAACCCTGAGCGCTGGCCACACGTCCCCGTTACTTACGGTTGAGAGGCAGGCTGGCATTGGTCGTCCCTAGCTTGTTGGCAGCGACACAAGTATAGTTGCCAAAGTGCTCTTCTGTCACATTGGTAACAGTAAGAAGGGATCTTGTACTATAATTTTTAATAGTGATTCCTTGTTGACCATTGATCAGTCTAGAAAGCAAAAAGAAAATGTCTATAACTCATATACCACAACCAAGATTTTATTTATTTTTTTTTTTCACAGGTTCTTTCCTGCTTTCACAGACAGCCCCGGGAGCACGGTGAGCTCTTTGCAAGCTGCCAGTGCCTGTGCTGAGCACAATTCCCGGCACTCTGGGGAGCCCTGGGGCTGGGGGTGCTGAGGGGAACAGCGCTGCCTGCCTGTCCTGCAGCTGAGAGAAATGAAACACCCACAGCCCCTCCTGCCTGGAGGAGCGGGGACACAAACCCCTGGATGCAGAGCTTGGGTTTTAAACTGGGCAAAGCCAACTGGGAATTGAAATACCCTCCCTGGGGCAGCAAGGACCCTGGTAAGTCTTTCTAAGAGGGTCTTTGTCATTTCAAGAGGGTCTTTTCAGCCTCTGGAGTTTGTGGTGTGCTTTCACAGCTCTGGCTGGCGGCAGGTGAGGATTCGGAGCCAGGATTGTGACCATGGTTTTGTTGCTGGGGTTCTACAGCTGCAAATGAGCCTCGCAATTAGGGAGAAAATGCTTCAGCAGCACTGCTGAGGCAGCAGCCTGGCAGGAACAGGTAATGAGGCACAGAAAAAAGCCAAATCAGGACTCTTCTCGCCCAGCTTTGAGCTTCCCACCCCAAATTCAGAGGAAAAATGCAGGTGTGTGGATACTGCTCCCAAAGCCATGTCAGGAGCATTGCTGGGCACCAGGACAAAGCAGGAGAATCAACTTTAATGATGTTGTCGTAGGCAAACCACGTCCGATCAAACAAGGAGACGAGAAGGGGAGCCGTGTTATTAAAAACTCGCTACAGTTATTACTCATAATTCCTTCTATTTCCCATAAGGAGCAGGGGTTTGGATTAGGAATGCAATTTTTGTCTGCTATATTGAAGGATATGATCATATATCCTGGGAATTAATGCCATCTTCCACCGTTCTGTCCTAAAACCTTGGCAAATCTGTCATTAATTGCACTTGTGCAGGTTGTGGACTGAACACTGCTCATTGCTATGGGAGTGCCTCTCTTCCCATCAGAGCCTGCAGGTGCTGCTCACACGGGGATTTCTCCTCTCTGGGCAGGTTGTGTTGCTGTGAAGGACCCTGCTCTTCCAGCCCAGGGCCGGGGAGGGGATGTGCCACGCCCCATGGGCATGAAAACACAGAAAAATGGGATTGCAGCGCCTGCTTTGGGATGAACACTGCTCTTGGAAGATTCCCCTTTGGTCCAGAAAGAGAAAACTTCTGTGCCAGGTGGAAATTTGCCCTTTCAGCCTTTGCACGTGGATGTTCTCCTCTAAACCCACCACTGGCTGTCCCTCTGCTTCCTGCCTCTCCTGCAGAAAATTCCATAAGAGTTCCTCACTCCCAACCCCCCTGCCGTGCTGCTCCCATGCACAGGTGCCCAGAGCAGCCCCTGGATCCCTGGCAGTGCCCAAGGCCAGGCTGGACACTGGGCTGGAGCACCTGGGACAGTGGAGGTGTCCCTGCCATGGCAGGGTGGCACTGGGTGGGATTTAAGGCCCATTCCAGCCCAGTCTGGGATGCTGTGGTTTGTATCAGCTGCTTCCAAGCCAGCTCCACACTTCTGGCCCAGAGTTTGAGCTCCACCATCTCCATTTCAGCTGTAAGGTTCACCTCCTTTTTTCCCCGGAAAATACGGAGTGCTGGGATCTCCGGCGTCACCACGCCCTGTCCCAGGTGACATCTGCCTCCAAACAGCTGGGAGTGCCTGCCTGCTGTGACCTGCTGTCCCCAGGGGTGCCAGCTCGGGGCCCTCCCCTGTCACTGCCCCCACATCCCTCCCTGGAGCCCTGCTGGGAAGGGGCTGGCACTGAGGCTCAGGGCTGGAGGTCCTGCAGCAAATGGGGCTGGGCAGGGATGCAGAGGGATGAGCACACAATTCCCAGAGCAGGAGCTGGCCAGAGCTGCCCAGGGGTGTCCCTGTGCAGCTGAAGGAGCACAAACTCTTCCTGGGGAATTCGCTGCTTGGTGCACGGCTCAGAACTGAGCTCTCATTTATATTTATTATATAATCATTTATTATATAATCATTTATTATATAACCATTTATTGCTGGGCCTCACCCAGTGACTGTCAGGCTGCAACAGCATCCTGGGGTGTGCACAACAGAGCTATTGGGTGTACAACAGCATTCTAGGTGTGCACAACAGAGTTATTGGGTGTACAACAGCGTTCTGGGGGTGTACAACAGAGTTACTGGGTGTGCACAACAGAGTTATTGGGTGTACAACAGCGTTCTAGGTGTGCACAAGAGAGTTCTGGTGGTGTACAACAGAGATATGGGGTATACAACAGCATTCTAGGTGTGCACAACAGAGTTATGGGGGTGTACAATAGCATTCTGGGTGTGCACAACAGAGTTACTGGGTGTGCACAACAGAGTTATGGGGTGTACAACAGCATTCTAGGTGTGCACAACAGGGTTATGGGGTGTACAACAGTGTTCTGCTTGTGTGCACAACAGCGTTCTGGGGGTGTACAACAGCATTCTGGGTGTGCACAACAGAGTTCTGGGTGTGCACAACAGAGTTATGGGGTGTACAACAGCATTCTAGGTGTGCACAACAGGGTTATGGGGTGTACAACAGTGTTCTGCTTGTGTGCACAACAGCGTTCTGGGGGTGTACAACAGTGTTCTGGGTGTGCACAACAGCGTTCTGGGGGTGTACAACAGCACTGTGCGTGTGCACAACAGCATTCTGGGGGTGTACAACAGCACTCTGGGTGTGTGCAGCCCCCGCCTGCACGCTCCTTCCCCTTTGCCCTGTGCCACTCCCCCAGGGAGGAGCGAGCCCCTCCTCACTGGGATGGCTCCCAGGCATCCCCCGTGCCCCAGTGCCAGCCCCAGCCCTGCTCTGCCTCCATCCCAGAACACCTGCACTGTGCCATAATTGATGAAGCCATGATAATGAGCTTTGTCATTCCAAATGTAAGTCTTGTTTGCTTTGAGAAGGAAAAGGGAATTAATACTTTAATATTTCATTCAGGTGACTTTTGGGCTTCTTCCCTGCGGCTGTTTAATGTCTGAGCTCTAATTTCTGTGAGCCCAGAGCACAGCCTGAGAGCAGACTGGGTTCAGAGCTGGCACAGGGAAGCCACTGGGCTCTCCACAGGGGATCCCCAACAATCTTCCAAGCCCATAGCCCATTTCTGACACCCCATCCCTGGAAGTGCCCCTGGATCCCTGGCCAGGCCTTGGAGCACCCTGGCACAGTGAAGGTGCCCTGCCCATGACAGGGGATTGGGGTGGGATAAACGTTAGGATCCCTTCCAACCCAACCATGTGATGTTTCTAGGACAATTTTGAGATGCTTTCATTAACTTCTCCCCCAAATTTTCTCCAGCTCTCCCCACCCTGTGCACCAGCACCTGGGGGAAGTTACTGAACAGAGCTCCTGGGAAGTCAGTGATTAGCAGAATCAGCCCTCCCTGCCTCAAAGAGCAATAACTTTGACTCAGTGCAGTCTGTTACTGCCTCTGTGTTTAGCTTTAATGGTTATTTTATGATGAGGTGATCCCTGGGGTCTGGGAATGGTACGTTTGGATTCACATCAATCTCAGTAACAACAATGCAATTTCCACCCCCAAAAGCCTTGTTTCAGACACTGCACGCACAGTTATGATTGCAGGGCTCACTCCCACTGCTAATTTATTGAACAATCCATCCAGATTCCTAAGAAAGAGGAGTCCCAGCCCAAGAGTATCTGACAAAAATGGGATCCTCTCTATTGTGTTAGCTGAGAATCCAGCAGGGTGTGCACTCCCAGGGAGCAAATTCAGCCGTGGAGCACAGCTGCAAATTGTCTGCAGGGTACTGGAGATGCTCCCGTGGGCTCCCCTGAGAGCTGAGCCTTCTCAGCTCTGCACCGTGCTGTGCTACCAATGCTCACCCCGAGCTGGCTGCCCCTCATCCTCAGGCAGAGGGGAGACATTGGATCCAAAACCAGCAAAAAACCCACCCCTGGTTGTTTTCCCCTTTCCTGCAAGGGATGGGGCTCAGAGATCCCCAGCAAGGACCCCCTGAGCTGGAAGGGACCCCCAAGGCTCAACAGAGCCCAGCTCCTGCAAGGATGGAGCAGTGGATTTAACCCAGTGTTTGAGCAGCAAGACCCAGCAGGACAGAGCTTTTCCTGCTGAGCTGAAACTCCCACCAGAGCAGGAGCAGGAGCAGGAGCAGGAGCAGGAGCCCAGCTTGGGTGTCCTGAAATGCTCTGCTTTGCCTCTCCTGCTGCTGCCATGGCACTGGACGTGCTCAGCAGGGAGGAGTTTGGGCAGAGCTACAAACAGAAGGGTGATCAGCGTGCTGGGAGCTGCTAATTGAACCTGGAGTGCCAAAACCTGCTCTGAAATCTTCCCACAGAAAGGGTGTTTGTGCTGCAATGGCCCCAGGATGGGCACAACTCAACACAGCCACGAGCAGCCGTGAAATGGGATGCAGATGGACCTCACAGCACAGCAGAAACATTCCTGGTCCTTACAGGAAAGATCAGTTGAAGAGAAGCTTCAGGATATGGTGGGATGCCATGGCTCAGCAAAGAGGGAGGACAGCAGCTCGTGCTGCAGGAGGGGAGCAGCTGAGGAAGGAGCTGACAGATGGCTTTCTGTGAAAAAGGGTCATTAATATTCTCCTGCCAGCTCCCAGGTTTAATGGGATGCTCGAGCTGACAAGCCCAGCACTTGGAAGGTGGGAAATTCCCAAAGCTTCCCAGCTACAAGGGACAATATCCACCTGCTTCTGCAGCAGCGTGTGAGCCCAAGAGAAACGAGCTCCTGCAAAGCCCAGAGCTGAAAACCAAAATGTCCTGCTCCAAAGAAAACACCTCCTGTTTGACAAGCTGCCTGTGGAACAAGGGGGCTCTGCAGAGATGCTGCTGCTGACCCAGAAGGGCCCACACAAGCCCAGAACACACGGCCAGGCTTTAGGGTTCAGTGTCCCCCTGATCCCCTTGGCTGCAGCGACCTGCAGAGCTCACCCAGGGAGCACAACCAGGGCACCCCTCACTCTGCCTCAGAGCCGTGCTCTCACAGGTGAGGAGGGCAAATTGAACAGAAATCCTTTTTGCAGCTTGTCCCAGTGCTTTTCTGGCTGCCACCCTTCAAAGGCTGCAGCTCCTGCAGCTCAGCCATGGCAGGCTGTTGCACTGCACTCTGACAGAACAGGAGCCACGGCCACGGGGCAGCCCCAAGCACTGCTGCTGGAGCTGGGCAGGCTGGCATGGGCACCCCGGGGCAGCCCCAGCCCGGCAGCAGCCCTGGCACACGGGGGGTGGGCGAGCAGTGGCTACTTACTTCCTCTCTCCTCTGTACCACTCAAAGACCGGGGCAGGCACTCCTGCACCTTCGCACCGGATCAGGCCGTTCCCTCCAAGCATCACACCGCTGGATTTAAGTTCCTGAATTGTGGGGACAACTGAAAAATAAGAATTGTGAAAGAAATGGACATTGGCATCTGGATAGGCAGGTCACCCAGCTCCTCTCGGCCCTCTTCTCCAGCTTGAGCCACGTTCAGCACTGCTCCAGCAGAGGGAAACTGTCCCACACTGCACATCCTGCTCCGTGTGCCTGGTGGGAAACCCAGCTGAGACATGGGGAGACAGCAATCCTGCAAAAAGCTGCTTTTCAGCTCCCCAGCACAGCCCGCAGCTAACAGCACTCTTTAATTAGCTACCAGTGTTTAACTCCTGAGCACTGGAGGGGCACAGGAGCCCCCAGCACTGGGGGACCCTGTCACTGCGAGGGTCTGGCAGGTCCCCAGGGCCAGCACCCTGATCTGCACTGCCTGCACACACCCCCAAACCCTTGAGACCTCAAACTAACAGAGTAAACCTCCATAATGATGAGCCAACCACAAATATCACAGAAAAGTGCCTCTCCCATCATTCCACCGCATGTGGAGTTGTTTCAGTAAGTGCATTTTGTCTTTTTAAATAGCAAACATTGTAAATAGTAATAAACTTTTTGAGCTTAGAACTACAGACACAAATAAAGATGAAAAGCAATTGTCAGGTTTTCCAGTTGCCAGCAGAAGGAACCGCCAGCTGAAAATAAAACACAGCAAATTCCTCAGGAAAGAGATTATCAAAGGCAACAACTGCCTCCTCCTGGAACTTTTTACATTCTCTGGTTTTAAACAATAATTTATGTGCCTCATCAAAACGCTGTAAAAACCAAACCACACAGCTTATAAATAAAAATCTGTTTATTTTTTCCCGAGCAGCTCTCCAGATGTTGCTCTAAGGTGTTTATGGACACGTGGAGCTCTGCCTGCCTCGCTCTGCTCCCCTCACGTCACGGTGCTGCTCCCCCAGCCCGGAGCCAGGAGCTCCTCAGGAGCCCTGGCTGAACCACCCGAGTGCTGCAGGGCCCTGGGACCACCCCAGCTGAGCCTGGCCCTGCCAGGAGCTCCCAGACAAGCTGGGAAGAAATCCCAGGAGGTGCTGCCTTGCGTTGAGGCCAGGATGGAGCTGGGTGGTGGCCACAGGAAGCCCCAAAGTGCTGAGTGACCCCCAGCCATCCCCACCCTCCTCCTGGCACACCCCAAGGGATGGGGTGGGAATACCTCACTGAAGCACAGGGGATTTTGGAGAGGCTATTTCCACATCTGGTGCACACCTGGTTTCACCTGAGTGTGGATTGATTATGGATGGGCACAGCTACCAGCTCTGTAGCTGAGCATTGCTGTAATTACAGTAAACTGTTTGATACCCCGTGAAATCGCTTTGTAAATCTGAAATACTCGATGTCTGAGCACTGCTAAACCCTTGTGCAGCCTTATCTCTGCATCCCTGTCCTTTGCACTGCCTCCTGCATTCCCAGATCCTGTGTGCATCATCCCAAACCCTTCTGAGGGATCTTCCTTTGTGTGCTTTACCCTGGCAGTGCCCCTGCACCCAGCTCTGCAAAGCCTCCTGTCCCCAAATCCAGGGCAAACCCTGCCTGCGCCAGTCCTTGGCAGGTCTTTAATGACAGGTTGGAATGTTTCCTGTGAGCCTGCAGGGCAGTGACAGCCTCGTCCCCCCTCCCAGCACGGCCGTGTCCCCCTCTCACAGGAAGGGAATCTGCTGGGAGTGCAGCTGCCATGGCCAGGGACAGCAAACACCCCCAGCAGCCAGCACAACCCCTGATTTTAACTCAGCTGGGAGCGGGAGTTTCAGCAGGGTTAAAGCAGAGCTGCTTCTCCCCCTTCCATCCTCCTGGGGTTAAAGCAGACTCTCAGACAGGCAGACTCAGCCCCTGCCTCCAGCTCCCTCATGCAATGATTACACAAACCAATCCATAAATCCATCAGCTTTCACCCAGCAACATGAACAATCGGGGGGGAGAATACATGTACAAGCAATTTGCATGAGTCCTTCATAATCTGCATAAGGAAGCACACAGATTGTTTTTGCTGCTCCATAAAAGCAACAGGGACGGGTGAAACATTCCCACCCCTTCCCTCAGGCTGTGTGAGATGTGACCGCTGGAAGAGTAGGTAAGAGATGAGTGAAGGCTGAGTCACGTCCCAGGCTCCTGTTCTAAGAGGCACCACCTTGCTGCTTCCCCCCGAGCCTGCTCACCTTCTCCTTGGTGTTTTGGGGATATTTTTGTCTTGCTTGGCTGGCTGTTTTTTACACAAAAGCAGAACGTCCCTGACAATGTGTTTCAGGATGAGCTGGTGCATAAAAGCCTGCAGCTTACTGCTGCTTCATGGGCAGCTGGGACGGGGATGCCAGCTGCATCCCAGCCCCAAATAACAATTCCAGGCTCTGCTGCTGGCTTGGAAACTACTGGGAAACTTCTGAGGAGGAAATTTTCTCAGATCTCCCTTTGAGGAGGATTTCAGCTTCTGTTTGTTCGGAACAAGAATTGAAATCAATATTCTCTGCTCCAGGAAATCCCTGGTTAGTGCAGGCATGGAAACACAAAGCGGAGATTGTTGGAGCCACCATCTCCTGGATTTATCACTGTCAGCTTATTTTATGGCTTTTACCCTAAAGACAAATTGTGGGATGCACTTGTGTTCCTGGAGCACTGATTAGGGAGCCAAAATCCCACCAGACTCGGAAGCCTGAGCAGCTGCAGGCGGGATCCCACACCCCAAACCCGCTGCTCACACTGCCCAGGTCTGCCCTGGAATGGGCAGAGACAAACAACCCGGGGCAGAAATCTGGTTAGAAAGAAGCTGAGGCTGAAGGGAGGTGTGGGACGGGTGAGACTCCAGCTCCAGCCCTCCCTCAAACTCCCCCAGCTGAAGCTTCCCCTCGAGCAGGTGTGAGGGGAGGGATTCCTGCTGAGCACCCCATCATAAACAGCAATAAACAGCCAGCGAGGAAATAACACCTTGGCTCAAAGAGAGCGAGCAGGAGGAGGGAGGGAAGGCGGGAGGGGAAAGCTGAGAGAGGCTGCAGGAGGAGGGAAGGGGTGCCAGCCCCCCACAGCTCCCAGGGCAGCTTTTTCCAGACAAATCAACAGCCGAGTGAGACACTGCAATAAAACCTAACAGGGATCTTAACAAGAAAACCTGCTGTAAAACTAATAATTTAAAATGTATTTGTCATTTCTAGGTCTCCTAAACAACGGTTAAATAAAATGATAGAGGGAAAATGTGATTATCTGTGTCTGTCGGCAGGCTGGCTCCTGTGACTCAGATCCGGAGGTTTTTGTCCCCACAGTGGCTCCTTGTTCAATCCCCTCCCGTGGCTCATCCCTGCCGAGCAGGGCACTTCAAATAAAGCCTCATTTCTGCCTGGGGAATGAGTTACAGGAACTGCTTCATGGCAATTTCCCTGAGAGCTGCGAGTGCCTTGCTGGGAAAGGCTTTGGGGTGGGAGCTCGGGGCGCAGCTCTGCGCAGCGCTCCCGATGTCCTGCACGCCTGTCCCCGTGGGCATGGCTGGGAGGACAGCTGGCCCTGGCCACAGCTCCCACGCATTGTCCCCAAAGCCACAGATCTGTGCATCCCACAGGAGGGGTCTGGGCAGAAGGGTGGGAGGGAGGAGAACTGGGCACAGCACGCCCCGGAGCTGGTGCCAGGTGTGCCCAAGGGCTCGGTGTCACCACCAGGGACACACACAGGTGTCACCACCAGGGACACACACAGTGTCACCCCACACAGAGCAGCGTCCAAGGCCAGGCTGAACAGGACCTGGGCTATGGCTGGGGTCCCTGCCACGGCAGGGGTGGCATGAGATGGGGTTTAGGGTCTTTCCCAACCCAAAGCAGTCCCTGGTTCTGACTCTGCACATCTGAGCTCCCCAACAGCCTCACATGGAAACCCAAACTTAACCCCTGAGTTCTGCTCAAAACCAGCCCAGAGACCTGCTGGACCTGCTCCCCCCCCAAGTCCAAAGGAAGAGTTAGACCCATGGCACCCCAGGCACAGGGAGTGCTCCAGATCCAGCAGGTTTCCTCTTTTAACATTTTAATGAGCTTCGGGACTTTTAGGCACATTAGTTATGTTGCCCTAATTACTCATTATAATTCTAATGTGCATTTTATATTTAATTACAATGCTTATAAAGATTTGGTATGGACAGTAAATTATTATAACTAGCATGTGCATAATGATTACGAGCTGAATTTATTAACTTTTACACAACCATTCAGGTCTGGAAACTTCCAATTTCACCTTTGCGAGCCCCCATATTGTCTGATTAAACCAACATTTCTGTGGCATTAATTGTAAATGTCAAGGCAAAAAAAAGATCTTTTATTTTCCCTGTTTTCATCAGCTTTTAATTTGGCATCCTAATGCCATCTTTTGTTAGTGAAATTGCTTTCCAGGGTGTTAAGATAAAAAATTCCAGGTAAGAGAACGGGTTTTCTGAGATGTGTTTTGTGCTCAGAAGAACAGATATCAGCAATATTCAAATATATTCTTTTCTGTATATGCACCCTCCGAGTGTTTTACCAACGCAGTAACAAGCCAGACAGTGTTACTTGTACTTTAAATAATTAAGATGGGCTTTCGACACTCTGGATTATTTAATTTTTCTAATTTATTCAGCGCAGCAGCCCTCCCTCTCCCTAGATTAATGGAGTGGTTTAATAATGGCTCCTCATGTCAGAGCCTTCTCTGCCGTGCAGAAACATTTGAGAGACACGGCTGGAACAACCACTGGGCTCAGCAAGTTACAGGCTGATTTATTCCAGCTTTTCTCCATGGCTTATCAGAATCCTGGACTCACTGCCATCCTGACACACACATTTCCATAAATTGTATATGCAAACACAGGAGATGAGGGGAAGAATTCAGTCCTAGATGGAACACGGGGTCCCTTTTGAGCTTTTCACTGAATCCCAGGCTGGTTTGGGTTGGGAGGGCCCCCAAATCCCACTCCGGACCAGCCCTGCCATGGCAGGGACACCTCCCACAGTCCCAGGCTGCTCCAAGCCTGGCCTTGGGCACTGCCAGGGATCCAGGGGCAGC